TGTTCTGTATTTGTAATGTTTACTTTAAAATTAAATTCATGATAAATTCGAAGTAAATTCGAGATCCGCAGACTAGTTATATCTACTGAAAATGCAAATATATGTATATATTAGTAGTATATATCAATAGATTCTTCACTTAAAGATATTTTTAAGTAAAATTAATAAAAAAAAAGTTTTTTTAGTGACAAAATCAACAATGTCATCTTTAGAGCATAAAATTGCTCCCCGCCTCAATTGATATTCTCTAAATTTATGAATTTATTTTTTACGTACTTATGTATATAAAATCAGGATTTAACACTTCGCGAAGTTCCTTTGTGAGTGACGGCCGTTTGAACTTGCCTCCAAATTGCTGTTGAGCCAATCATATTGCTGTGTAAAGTCCACGATGCCATCGACATAAGCAAATCAGCTGACTAGTCGTCAGCTGCTGCTTAGTCGAAACATGTTTATCGAAAGTCATTGAATAAATATTTATGTCAAAACACTTGTTAGAACTTTCAATCGTTCGGTGCGAACACGCCAGATACGGCCGATAGGAGGATTTTTTTAACGAGATTAACATAGTCAGTGTTTCGTCGCTATCATCAGTCATTAGTCAACATGGCGAGCCACATGCAGAGATTATTGTTGAGAGCCGGCCGTTTGTGTCGCGTAAATTCTACGAGGCGTATCCTTTGGAAATCCGTTGTGGAGTTTAGCACTCTTCGTTAGATAATGTGACCGTATATCAGAATTTGTCATATTCGTCCTTAATTAGTGATCAGAGATTTCTGCCTCCGCCACGCTCCGAGCGAGACGTAAGTCAACTTAATTTTAAATCATATCTCTAATCATCAAATAAATAAAACACAGCCTAGTCTTTTAATCGCGACATGATTCGTACTGTATGATGATCAGTCTTGACTTAAAATATAGATGGTAGCACGATGCAGAGGCACAACTCAATCGGTAGTTCGTTTTGCCGACATTACGATTTTGCTTTATCATCTTTACTGGTAACTGATAAAAGATATTTACCCTTTCATCGTTGTATGTCACTGTAATATTATATAAAAAAAATGGATTATTTAAGTTAATTTATTCATTTATTATTATTATAAATTAAAATCACAGTATAAAATAATTTCAAATAATTCCAAATATTTAGACCTTTAATATAATCTTCTTCAGTAAATTCTACATTATCATACAAATTGAACATTACAATTAAAATATATAGCTTTACAATTATTACAACTTCTTCATGTTTGTATCCTCCAATATTTACAATCAGAAATCCATAATTCCTTGACATTTAAATATTATTTAAATATGTCATTTAAATATTTATTAGCATTTATAATAGACTGTTCCTTGTATCTTGTAATATTACATAATAGTAGGGGAGGCCGAGAGGCTAAATGTGGATTTACTCGAGAACCTATTGGATTGTGAAGATTAGATGCTAAAAAGAAAAAAAGGTTATATGATGTATGCCGTTTCAGTGGTGGGGGGAGCGTGTACAGGCTTTCAAAAAAACAGTGAAAATGAAATACTCGAGCGTGTCAGATATTAATAGTGTAAGAGACCCATGTGTTTCTGATAACGGATAAATATTAATCTGACGGTTTGCGTGGTGGGGTTAGCTGTAGGAAGGGGTCAAA